CCCCCATTCATTACTTTCAGGGAATTCAAGCACAGCAAACAATTCCCTGTTGGAATTAATTTTAAAAAAGGTTTTCTGTATTTCTCCTTTATTTTTAAAAATGCATGAGGAGGTTGTTCCTTTTGTCAATGGTGTACAAACTAATTTTACTATAATAGAAAAAAAGTGTTGCTAAATTTTTAGTGAGGTCTGGTTCATGATCCAGTTTCTCAGAATAATCTAATAGATCGAAGGCTTCTTCAAGAGACATTGAAGCCTGAGGCTTCATTCCGTGATGATTTTTTACATAGTGAAAAAAGCATGTGTTTTGAGCTCAGGGCGTTCTCGTTGTTGAAATCCCTGCAAATAGTTGTGGACTGTCTGACCCTAGCTTTTACAAATACTGGTAAAAAAAAAAAAGGTACTTTCAATCCCAAAGCGATTACTTAAAAAAAGGGGAAAGATGAGGAACAGGTTAGTTTATATAAGGTTAATTGGGCTAGCTCTAAAGGGGAACCTCTCAGCGGTTAGTAGCTAGAAGCTGTACAACTGGAAATACTTTAATTTAAAATCCAATATAAATGCTTCATCAACTACATGCAGAAACACTTAAGAATTATTATTTTTTTTAATCACAGTTTTCATCTTCTCTCTATAGTACATCCATTGAATTATTGGAGTTATGGTTGTAGAAAGCTATTTTAGCATGGCCAGAATCAAGGTACCAGACACAAAATTTAGGCAGGCACCCCTCATATAAATACTACTTGCTAGAAAAAACTCACCCTTGGAAGTTCTGTGTGGATAAAAGGTCCCCATAGGAATGTCAGCTGGTATCTCTCTTCATCAGAGCAGATAAAGGAAATTATTATTCAAATACAATGGTTTTGTTAGTCCTTGAATAAATTAATGGATATTTAAAGAAGGACAGAATTTAACAGATATGTCTTTTGAATTTTAAATTTAAAACCAAGTCCCCTTCCCATCTTGTTCTTTGTTTTTAGAACACCACAGAATTCCTGCTTTAGAAGAGGCAAGTTGGTTGCTGGGGAACATCAACCAGACTGGCTACTTCAGAGTTAATTATGATGTTAGGAATTGGAGGCTGCTAATCGGCCAGCTAACAAGGAACCATGAGGTAAGCTCCTCTTCTCATCCCTAAAATCTGCTTTGATAAGTGAACCTTCACTGTTTCATCACCCTAAATGGTTCAATTTTTCTGCTTGCCCCTCACAGGTTATCTCTGTCAGTAATCGAGCAGGCTTGATCGATGATGCATTCAATCTAGCCAGGTATGTTTTCCTGAAGGTAATCTATCCTCATACACATTCCTGCAATAACTCATGCGGTCATTAACTCCACAGTTGAGTGTGTTTCAAAGTTAAATATATTTTAAATACACTTTACTTCTTTTCCCATTCCTTTTTTTTTTTTTTTCTTGGTATGACACATAAACATGGTCTGTAGCACATTCACTGCTCTTGATCAATAATTGCGATAGGGTATTTCTGAGTCTGGAGATGCCTGATCAATTTTTCAGCAAGTTCAATTTAACAATTTGGAGATAAATAATCTCTTTCCTCTTTCTCTAATGAATGAGGGTCTTTTCTTCCATTCCTCCCTAATGCCCTGCCTCCTCTTTTTTTTAATAACTGACCCTTGTTGTGTATTTAATCTGTGATGGAAGGCACCTTCAAGCTTCAGGAACTTTTTTTTTTTTTTTTTTGCACTGACTGGTACTGTTATATCATTTTTCCGCTATCTTTCTTTTCTTGTAATCCGCTAGAATAGACTCTTTTTCTGCATGATGCTTTTCACACAGAATGGAAATCAGAGTTCTGTTGAGCATTTCTGGAATATATCAACATTCTGTGTTTGACTATGGTCAGAGTTAATAATTAACACCTATTGTGCTGGTTAAGTAATGCCATCTTTATGAACTGAGTCACTGGAATTGTCCCTGTTTTGAAATGAGGACATCCAATATGTTGGTAGTGAAAGTATAAAATGAGAGGAAAGTAATGGAATATTTCAAACTTTTTGATTATTGAGGTACCTGGCAACATCGCATCAGTAAAACACTGTCGTGTCAAAGGCAGTGTGAAGAGAATTCCTGATACTACTGGCTTTTCTGTTTGCTAGCATATTTATAGCCATATTTGAGCAGGGACTTGCAAGAATCGGCAGTATCTAGGTACATTTCACTACAAACGGTCACCAGAGATGTTTGCGATTCAGGCACAGTGTCACACAGAAATTATGGCTCAGTGATGTTCCAGCATCACTGCAGTAAAACACAGTTGTGTGGACTACGACTCTGTTCCTGCTGCCAGTGCAAGACTGAATATATGACATAAACTAGTGATTAGCCCTTACTTAACAGTCCAGAGATGCAGTAGGGAAGGAGGCATCCTGGGGAGAGAAGGAGTATCCATTTGCTTTTTGCACTGCCCTTCGTTCTTGCCTTGCAGCTTCTTCCCATTGGCAACAGTAAAGGACTAGAAATGGGTCGTCGCTTCAGACTGCAGTGGACCGTGATTTGTGTACTCCCTGGCTAGCAGAATATTGCACAGTATTCTGAAATATCTAGACTATTAGACGAACTACTGAATGTTCAGTAATGTAACAGTCTGTGCCAATTTCATTTGGGTTTGGCACCTCAGAGAAGTAGTGTGCAGTTATATGGTGTCAGTGTGGGACCTTCTTTTTCCATGTACTGAACGCAGTCAGATGTGGCTAGAATTCCCTGAAAATCTAGTCCCTGGAAAAAGCTGTTCCTTAAGCCAATTCTTGTATGCGAGTGTTTTTCTTCCAAGTCAGTACTGAGCCAGTGGTCTGGGCTGTGTTGTTCATGATGCATAAAGGCAAGGTCTTGATTAAAGGCTCAACCTGCACAGTATGGCCAAGTTTTGTCTACCTAAAAACCACGAAGAGAGTAGATGAGTAGCGCATGTCCCACTTGCTTTCCAAAGCAGTTTTATGGTGATACTGGATCCTGCTGCTTTTTCGGAGGTAACTACGCCAGAGCATAGTGAAGTCTTTCACGAGATTTCACCTTGGGAAAACTTGGCTTTCTTTTGTTAACGATGAGCTGCAGCAAACTGCTGCTGCATTTCTTACTCATGCACTGTGGAAAAAAGTAGTTGAGCTAAATATTTAGTGTGTACACATGTGCATACACATGTGTAGATATTACTTATGAGGAAATATTCTTCCAACAGGGATATGTAGCTATATTCCTATTTCTTTTAAATCCTTTTACAGGCTCCTGTTAATAGTATTACCTAGAGTACATGCCTTACAAGCCAGTCTAGGTGGAGGAAAGTTCTGTGTGTTTGCAAACAGTAGATTTATCTTCTGCATTTGAACAGTAGCAATATTATGGGACCTGGATAAACTTTCCATGTAGTTCTAGTTGATCTTTTTTTAATTTATTCATCTATCATCTTTCCTAATAAAAGAAAACTTAAAAGGCAATTATGGTGATGCTGAAGTTTAATTGGCTAGCTGACTATATGGTACCTTTTTAAGAAGGGTTTGATGTTTTTTGGTTTTATTTCCCCTCTCCCAGACATAGAAAGACCAGGAATAGGCCTAATTCTGACTGAAATCAGACTGCTGTTGCTGCAGTGCAGCACAGCTGCCCCTACTGTGTCTGGTGCTTCGATGTGACACAGCAGTGTTCCTAAAACAAGCTGTGAGGGCTATTAAAATCACACAGACCCTTTCAATTTCCTCAAGAAGTCTGCGTTCAGAAGGCCACCATCACCCTGAAAGCAGATTAGCTTTCCCCCGCCTTGGCTGCAAGGTGCCGTGCAGAAGGTTGCTTCACTTTCTTTTGGAGCAGTACCAGGATTTGGATGTTACCTGCCTCATGGATGCAGAGCTCATTCAGTCTCGTCTCCAGTGCACAGCGTGTGTTTCTCCCTGACCATATAATGTTACGTGATGGGCAGATTATACGTGTACCATTGTCTCAGAACGTGACATGAGAAAAGGTGAGTAACCTTATTCACCAGGCTCAGAGGTGGTAATTGGTAGTTCAGACCTGACTTCTGAGAAGACTATCTGTTTTTAAGGGTAATTCAGTCTTCAGTTGTGCCCCCTAGTTGCACTGATGTGTTATCTTCTTGTCTACAACTATAAACATACACATTTTGAGAGAGAGAACTGTGGAATACATACTTTTAGTTTAATCCCTAGCTGTTATTTTCAGTGATAAAATAATGCAAAAATGAAAGCGTAACTTCTTAAATTCATGCTAGTCCTTTTTAAAAGAATTTCTGACATAAACAGTTCTTTGTACTGTACTGAAGAGCCTGTATTTCTTCAGAATACCTCGTCCTTCTTAGAAACTTTTGAAGTAGTCTCTAGTGTGTTGTTGAACTTGATACAGATAATGTTCATTGCACACCAGAAAAGCTTGACTCAATTTTTCCACTGTCCTAGTATCGTATGTCCTATTATGATATTACTGTGTAGGTTTATTGCTAATCGATTTGTTTGTAGAACAAGTACAGGTCTTAGCTTTAGTAAAATTTAATAATATTTACATCTGGAGAAAGATGAAAAAAATGCTTATATAAATTATTTTTGAGCACCACATTTAAATTTTTTTTTTAAAAAGAGCGTTTGATTTCATTCCTCCAAAATGTTTATTATTCTTTTACTATCCAGCATAATGATTTCTTGAAAATAAACAACAGACATGAATTGATACCTCCAAGGAATATTTTAAGCTTTATAACTTTAATTTCATAAAGTTTTCCCCATTTTATATGGAAATACATTCCTTCCTGGTGTATTTTGTTTTGGTACATAAAATTAATAAAGCAGAGTTAAATTGAATAATAACAATTACAGAAAGCTACAGCTTGTCCACTGTGTTTGAATTCTCACAAGCTTGTTTGTTTTTCAGGTTTTTAAACGTAATTCTGTTCTCAGCTATGGTCCATGCACACACCCTGAGGATCTGGGGGAGCTGTAGCCTTGGCAGTAATACAGCTTATGGAAATGCATGCCCCAAATTCTTGAGCAAGAATAGCACCTTGGCAGTCTCTCTTCCCTTCTTCTTGAAGATCCTTTATCTTTTGGGTTGTTTTGTATGAAATTTCAGTACAATTTGAAAATATGTTGATTGTAGTAAATGGGATGTGTTGACTGAGAAAGCTCAGAGGAGACAGAACTGTTGTTCTCTTCTAGGCTTAAACTGAGCAGAGGGCAGTTCAGAAAGCTCCAAGAAGTAGTGTCACAGGAAATAACAAAGATCCTACTGTTCCTTGAGAATGTGAGTGATGTTGTCAGCTTCTCCTGGCTTTCTCTTTCCTTAAGATAAGGGGTCAGTTAGTGAGTATGTGAGATGGGATACTTCCCACTTTTCTTCAGGCATGCCAAAGGTAGACCTGTAAATCTGAGCTTGTCACCTTGCAGTGCACTGTTAATGGTAAGAAGCATGCACCTGACCTCCCAAAGTCAGTTAACTACATAGTGTAAGATAAATTACCCAGCTAGGGTTTTGTCACCCCTAGTTCTTCCTTGCTGGGCTCTAAATCTTCATATTCACTTCCCCTCATTAAACTAATTGACTTAATCCAGTGTTATGTCAAAGAAACAGGTCTGGTTTGTATTCAGTGTTAATCAGTGTTGTATCAGATGTGACTGCATATATCTATTTTACTGTCGTCTGTAATAGTTTTCTTTCTTTCCCGTTCTGGAAGAGTCCATCAGTTGATCCCACCTGCACCATAGTCAGCTCACCACGTTAAGGTGGCAGGTGCTTGATTTGCATTCCAGTTGCTCAGGAAACTGTTTCTTTGATGCTGACATTCTGTTTTGCTGTTGATTATTATCTTCTGTTTTGCAGCTGAAGGGATAGTGGTGGAGCTCTTCCATGATTTTCCTGAGAGTTCCCTTTTGGGTGGGTCATAGGTGTAGTGACAGCACAGTGCATGTCAAGACTACACTCATTGGGTACACATTAATAAAGGCCAAGGATAAAACTTGACAGTAGTTTTTGCATATTTCTTAACAACATTTCTTTGGTGTTTATCAGAAGCTTTTTCTTAACTAGATTAATGAGAAAGCATGAAGTGGTCTGTCTTCAACGCCAGGCTGGATGAGTCTTTGAGCAACCTGGTCTAGTGGAGAGTGTCCTTGCCCATGGCAGTGGGATTGGGACTAGATGGTCTTTAAGGTCCCTTGAATCCAAAACGTTTGATGAGTCTGTGAAATAATTTGTCCAAAATGTTTGATGAGTCTGTGAAATAATTTGTCTTCTACTCCAGGGCTGAAT